CGACTGGGGCACCCAGGTGAGTGTAGGCAAACCCATAGCATAGCACCGCGTTTCCAACTTGCACAGTTTGGTATGATCGCAGTCGGTTTCGAAAAGTACGGCTCGCAGGAGGCGCTCGAAAAGGACGCGATCAAGCACCTCTTCGACGTCTACGTGCAGGTGAACAAGGACGCCGCGGAGAACCCCGAAGTGAAGGTGGAGGCGGCGAAGTGGTTCAAGCGGATGGAAGACGGGGACGAGGAGGCGCTGAAGAACTGGCGGGTGTGGCGGGCGTTGTCGATCAAGAAGTACACAGACGAGTATGCGCGATTGAACGTGCATTTTGACGTGTACACGGGCGAGAGCGCGGTGGGGAGAGAGTGGCAGGATAAGGCACTCGAACGGCTGGACCAGATGGGGCTGATCAGCGACGTGGAGGGCGCGAAGCTGGTAGATTTGGAGAAGTGGAAGCTGCAGAAGGCGGTGCTTCGGAAGAAGGGCACGTTGTTCGTTGGTTGTCCTCAGCTGGATGCTGACGAATAGCCCGTTTAGATGGCACATCCATTTACCTCACGCGAGACATCGGCGGCGCAATCGAGCGGTACGAGAAGTATAAGTTTGACAAGATGATCTACGTCGTGTCTGCGCAGCAGGATCTGCACCTTGCCCAGTTCTTCAAGATACTGAAGCTCATGGAGTTCCCGTGGGCGGACAAGCTCGAACACGTCAACTATGGGTTGGTGCAGGGTATGAGTACCCGGAAGGGCACGGTCGTGTTTTTGGACCAGATCATCAAGGAGGCGGCGAGTGTTATGCACGAGCAGATGCAGAAGAATGAGGAGAAGTACAAGGCTGTTGAAGATCCAGAGGGGACAAGTTTGGAGATTGGTATCACTGGCGTTAAGATCCAGGACATGGCTGCGAAACGGTAGGATCTCTCGTTTCGCCGTTGGTATTTATGCATCTCATGACCTCTGCCTCAGCATAAACAACTACGCATTCAGCTGGGACCGTATGAAGTCCTTCGAGGGTGACACTGGACCCTACCTGCAGTACGCCCACGTCCGGCTCGCCTCCATCGCGCGCAAGAACCCGCACCTGCTTCCGCTGCCTTCACCATCCTCGATCAAAGTCGAGCTCCTCGCCGACTCGCCGCACGCGCGCGACATTGTCTTCCTCCTGGGCTCGTACCCCGATGTGGTGAAGACGGCGCTGAAGACGCACGAGCCGAGCGGGGTCGTGACGTTCGCTTTCCGGCTCGCGCACGTGATTTCGAGCGCGTGGGACGTGATGGTCGTGAAGGGTGAGGAGGACGTGGAGGTGGCGAGGGCGCGGCTGTGGGTGTATGAGAATGCGAGGGATGTGCTGGGCGCAGCGATGCGGTTGTTGAGCATCCGGCCGCTAGAGCGGATGTAGAGGTGATGCCGAGCTCGTGTATCGTAGATGCTTCATTGATCTAGTCGTGCTGATGAAAATGGCAGCTCGTCGACTCATAATGCTTGTTCGAACCTCCAGACTTTTTTACGTCGTTACATTCGGCTTGAGAGATGTCCGTCTGCTTCACAGTCTCTGGCACACAGTCTGAATTGCAAGTTCAAGTCCAATCAAGAATACACAATCATGATAACTATCTGCAAGACCCAACCGAAACATAGATTTTGTCCCATTTAGAATAAGCGGCACTCAAAGATGCAAGTAGCGCATTCTCATCTTCGTCCCTTTCCTATTGCCACATGTCAGATCTAGAGAGCTTGGAGTCCCTCAGTGGGGACAGTCTTACCGGGAAATCTCGATGTTGACCCCAAGATCAGGCTCTGCATGCTCCCAGCCCCAGGATGTGCCAGGCTCGTCGGGGGTACGTGGCCACAAGGGATTACCCGGCTGAGCATCGATGGACCAGTAGCCTTCCAGTTGTCCATCCGCAACATTGGGTGTGTCGAAGTAGTACAGCAGATCACCCCGGAATCCAGCTTTCGCCATAGCTTGACATTTCTCCTCTGGCGTCTGCATATGATCGGCGAAGGTGATATGTGAATATCGTTCTGCTCGACCACGGTTGAATACTACGAGATAATTCGTCTTTCAGTAGCTGGAGATGAAGAGGCACGGAGATGAGTCTTACTGAACATGATGTCGGAGACGTGGACTCCGCACTGTGTGGCGTACTCTTCCAGACGGTCGGCCATATGAAGGATAGTCGGCCATGGGTAGTCGAACCTGGTGTTCAAGCTCGCGCGATCGGTTCCCAACTTCACGCCGACCTTACAGGTATCGACACATTCCTGAAGGCGGAGTGTGTACCTGGTCAACTATCACTGTTAGCAACAGACAGTACCCGTGATCACACAAATGCGCACCGCGTCGACCCATCAGGCAATTCTTCCGCCGACCAAGGTCTGGACGCCGGGAAGTAAATGAGAGGCGCTTTCTGGCGTTTGATCTCTTCTGTCACCTTCCTATCTACACCTAGGCCTTGCTCAACAAGCTCTTGAAGCGTTGTAATCCGCTGGAAAGCAAGCTGTCTTGTCTCCTTGTCGCGATACATGTATCCGAAGTCGCCAGGCTCAATGTCGACATCATCATAGATGTCCCACATGCTACAGATTGAGGCCGAGAATGGCTGATACTGTAGAAGCGCGTAGAGGAGAGGGTTAACGCTCGCGATATTCGTAGAGTCTTGGACAATGTAGCGAAGCTGACGGACAGCCTCCATGAGATGCTGCAGAAGACCATGTACGTCCGAGGTCTTAAACTGATATCTGTAGTTCCAAAGGAGGTGTACGAGATGTTTCACGGCGCGACCTACGGGAGCGCCAGTGGGACCTGAGGCATTCCATTCATCCGCTTGGTTCGATGGGATATCTCAACGTGATATGTAGTACGTACCGTACTCTCCGTACACGTGGCCTGGCTGTGACGGATCACCCGTCAAAGACTGGAAGTCGATAGTTATTCCGTCAAATGTAGCGAGCCGATTCCAGGCCATACCTTCGTCAGTAGCTTCACGAAAGAATCCCACACGACCACGGTTTTCACCTCGGGGGACGAACTGACAGGGTATGCCCTGGAAGGATTCCAATCCACCAGTACGATGTTGCTATGCGACGTGTGATAGTTCACTTCCGCCGTCTGGAGAATTGTTTAGTATTTTCGTAATAGCATAGCTTCTTATGAACTCACATCGAAGAGACAGCCACCCGAGCCAGTTTTCAGGACGTGTTGAGCCGACTCCTGGCCAGCGGAGATTACACGTCAGTATAGGCGGCACAACTGGAGCACAAACCAAAAGCTCCGCGAACTAGACAGGCTCTATAGACGATGGAAATACCAAGAGAAAAATGAGTGACAAACCATATCCAATATCTTAAGTGTTGCCTCATACTGCGACTCTTTGCGGCACGTTTCAGCTATGAATGCCTGAGCGGGGCATCCTGGATCTACTTCATTGTCAGATAGAATGGATTAATGGCCAAAAAAATAAACTTTCCGTGGAAGAGGACGGTCCATGTATTCTTGCTTGGATTCTCGGAATATCCAAATACCTGAAGCAAATAAGGTTCCCTGTGATATACAGTGATGAGCACCACTAGCGAAGGGTGTAACTTTCAACGGAGAATACTTGTTATCCAGGTACCACTTCACATCATTGAGAAGCTGAGCGGTATAAGACCGTGACAACTGCAGAGCTCTAGTGACCACTGACCATTTCCTTCTGTGGGTAGACCTTCATCAGAGCCTTCCCGGACACTCCAGGGCCATATACGTGCACTTCTTCGTATGCAACCGAAGGCAGGGAGCGCAGGCGTTGAATATTGCTCCACTGGTTGATGCACACGAATAGTGATCAGTAAGAATCTCATGGATGCCTGCAAAGAATTACGCACAGGGACATGAAGAATACCTGTGGCTTCCACCACTTCTCTGAGATATTGTTTGGTGTCATTGTATAGCTTCAAGGATCTTGTGAGCTGTGGGTACTAGTTGAAACGTTCAACCTCACCCGAAGTTTCCCTATCATATCTTCAATATCTTGACGGCAGTCACTTAACTCTTTTGCGATCGAACTTGACTGGAAGAATTTTACAACAGCCCTTCGGCTGGTGTTCTTCTTCAGACATTTCTCGACATTCAGGAGCGTCCTAGATATTCGAATTAATGTACAACACTTGCGGCTCGCTATCAGTACTTGCGACTTAAACTCATCCAAAATCGAGCCCTCTTTGTCTGACGCGCTCATGAGACTGACGGTGATTGGAGTCAGTTTCACGAGCATCTCGAGCATTTCCGTGACACGCTTCTTCAGACGTGCACATTCTCTCTTGTTTCCTCTCATCGTCTGGAGGCTATCAGCACACAGGTTCATTCGCGCTGGTCACACTTACATCAAGCATACCATAGATCGTTGATGCCATCCAGAATATCGCCCGGACATATGGAAGGGGTACGGCGTCAGACAGATCCTTGAGGCTGTTCAAGAGATTCGTTGTCGTAGAGATAGCATTGTCTGCTGTAGAGCGGCTCATGAAAGTCCTTCGTTGAATACGTCGATATTCGAGACGATTTCAGCAGCAAAGTGCGTGGTAACTCAGCATTCAGCACCCATCAGACATGTATGTATCATGCTCCGAGGGACCCACAACCCGGCTTCCCCGGTACTGTCAGCGGCAAATTCCATGCCTTCAGAAAAGAATTCAGTCTCGGCATCATACCGTAATACATGAGGATTTAAACCGTATTTAGAGCTCACTGTATCCGAGTCATACGCACAAATTTCGTGATAACACATCCGCATCTGGTTTGCACGAATCAAGAAATTGATGTATTCAATGCAAGCTCGTCGAGGAGAGAGGTCATAATTCCAGTCACAATGTCTTGTGGCATAGTGTGCCTGCTCTGTACACACTGTACAGGAACTTGAGGCCAAGGCCCATCCGACGATTCCTCGGCTCAGCGACGGCCTGTCGATGCGTCGGAATACTGTCGTGACATGAATAACTATAACTAAAATATACCTGTTACAAGGATCGATGGCGTAGTTGATTATCACGCTTGTCTAATATGTCAAGGTACACAGGTGGTCTTCAGTTCGAGTCTAGGTTGGTTCATAATTTGTGTTCCCATTTTTTTCCCCGCACAACTTTTCCGCCAACGCTAGAGGCCGCCCGTTAGTATGGCCTGTTACCCCACCATACGCAGTGTTCATACCTACTACCGTGGGAGTCCACGATCCGGGACACCCTAGGAAGCGGGACACCTCTATAACTCGACAGCGACTGCACTGTTCACCAAACCGCTTGTGCGTACCTTGAGCACACCCCCATTGCATCTGACTGTCCGATTTTGAAGAGAATTGAGAGAGGAATGGAAGACTGGCAGGTTCAGCAAGTTGATCCACTTTTGGCCTGTGTCATATGTCTCGATTTGGTGAGACACCCAATATTGCCACTGCTGCTCTTCTCTCATCTCATCCCCGCTCTTTGTGATACTATGCATACAAATACTTTTGATATCTACCTTTCCAATGATATAACTTTTGGAGAGCTAGAGCTAGGACCGGGACCACTGTAATGATGCTGAAAGTGGCCCGGTTCCTAGTCTCAGTGCATATTTGACCTGTCTCGAAACTTTGCGTGTAGTTCTACCAGTTTCTCATGAATTTCCTTGATTAGTGTGTCAAAATGTTGACAAGAAAGATCCCTATAGGACTGTATAGTTATTTCATAGAAATCTGCATGTCTGCGGGAGCTAGAGGAAATATACGCTAGAGTGTCCCGGATCTAGACCCTAGACAGTATGTAAACGATCGGATGATGCAATACAAATAACGTTATAACAAGAATTGCACTCCATCAGGCACTCAATTTTCGTCTGGTTTCTCGGCTCTTTGTATTCGAACGATGTAGATGCTATGTTATGTTGAAACGCTGCAAAGGTAACGGTACGCCCTGTCCCCACCGTATGCTGCATATATATAACGAGAGGGCACATAGCACGGCTGTTATTCCTTGGGCGTCTGACTGATGAAACTTTGCCTCTTTCTCCATATTTTCGGTTTGGGAACGCCTCAAAGACAGAGAGAAACCGTCCCGCAATAGCGGCAGTCGCTGTGTAAAGTATTATAAACTTCTAGGTTTGCACGATTGCGACCCTTTAGGCCCTTAGAAGTGGGGTCGTGGGATGCGGCGTTTCCCGGCTCTTCCAAACTGGGACGTTACTTTGTACTGTCGCATGTCAAATATGCGTGAGCCTCAAGGCATCCAAACCTCGTACTCTGCTCACTCTGCTACGCCCACCACCGTCTTCATCAGTTTCGTGTATTGGTCGTAAATCCCCGAGGAATGTATGGTGTCGCAAAGGTACGTACACGGTTAATAAATAAAAGGGGAGGGTCGTGAAGCAATGGGGGTATATCGAAATGGGGTATGACGCGTGAGGATCTGGGCGGACGGTGCGGGGCAGGGGAAAGATCTAAACCGTCCATGAGGAATGCAGAGAGGAGCGCAGAGGTGGGTAATGCTAAGGTTACAAAAGCGGGTAAGGTGACGCGGCATACTCCAAGAAAGAAAGGATACAGTAATTGGGAGGGCCCGAGGTACGTCAAATACTTACGACTATCCATACAAATAAATACTCAGTGAACGCCAGCGTAGATTGTTACATCAGTAATGTCCCGTGTTGTCGTGATAGTCGTCATAAATCCTTGCGAATGGGCTAGCGACAGCGCTCGGCCTGTGTAGCTCGTGGGGTTGTGAGAACCCGGTAAATTGAGCTTGACGATCCGGGCTCGCGTACGAAGAAGCAAAGCCGTTTGAGTCCTCGCTGATTTTGGGTAAGCCAAGCTCGACACTCGGGACGTTACTGACGTCGAAGTCGGACTGGAATAGCATCTCGTTGGTGGACCATAGAGATGAATCCTGCCAGCAGGGTTGGTATTGCAGGGCCTGCATGGCGAAATCCGGCTTCGAGCCGTCGTAGACGTATGGCTGCGAACCTGAAACAATGGGGTAGTACGTATCGTTCGGTATGGGGAATGCTGCCGTCATCGCATCGAGCGAGAATGACTCTTCAAGAGGAGAAATGAGATGAGAAGCGCAAGACGAAGCGGGTGAGTGGAGATCTTGGGAGGCCATGAGAAGGGATGGATCTGTGCAGATGGTCATAGAGTTGAAGGAGGCGCCGTTCTGGAAGCTCGGGTCGTTGGTAGGGAGCGACATGGCGAACGTTAGATCTCCCAGTGGCCCGGGCTACACGTTTCAGGTTAGTAATGGTCTTTCCGTCTTTCAAGTGCGCACTCACGTTGAACATCAGGTCAGGATTGTACGAAGTGTCAAGATAGATGCTTGGAGGCCACGCTAAGCCTTGGCTGTTCTGCCCGTAAGGATCGACGTTCGTTTCCGTTTGCGGCACGGCTGACGTAGCATCAATCGATGAATGTGAAGGTAACGCTGGCGGAGGCGCCGGAGCCGATTGGGATCGTCCCGTCGATAAGGGCGTAGCCGGTGTTGGTGTCGTCTGCTCGGCTTCTGGTTGAGCATCCACCTCGACACTTTCCTCTACCGTGCCCGTCGGACGCCGCGTCTTCAGCTGTTGCTTTTTCTTGCGGTCCCTCGTCCGCTGAGGACGATAGACATAGTCCGGGTACATCTGCTCGTGCTCCTTCTTCCGTTGCTTGGCAAGGTCTTCCCAGTACAACCGGTCTTCAGCCGACAAGCTCTTCCACTGGTGGCTGATCAACTTCGATAACTCTGCCTGGCGCTGTTTCTTGGGGATACTGGCGCCCTCAGCTGCCGCTGCGGCCGCTGCTGAGGTCGTCTCAGCCTGTCGCTCCTCGACACACTTACGGCGGAAGAGGATAAACGCGTTCTCAGGCCGCTTGATATAATCTTCGTCGCCCTTCTTTGGGCGGCGCTCGGTTTCGCTCGTGGATTTACGTCGTCTATACGTCGTACGTGGGGTAGTGGGGAATGAAGCAGTTGACGAAATCGATGAGGAAGGAGACGTGGGAGACATGGTACGATCAAGGGGTGGCGGCGAGGGCGTACAAGAGAGCGTCGGGCGTCTGGCATGTGGTGCGAAAGGGGACGAAGACGGCGAATAGGGAGCGTCGGTGCACGTAGGGAAGGGGATTGCTTGCGGCGTCGGGGAGAGGATGGCTGCCGTCGGGCTCTGTGGTGTGTCTGTCGTCACTTCGAAGGCTGCGTCGAGACGTTGTGAACAGGTGAGCCATCAATTCGTCAGTCGGAGATTCGCTCACATCGTGATTGCGTGTCGCAGGGGCGCTGTGCAGCCATAATAATTGTTTATACAGGATAAAGGAGCAATAACAATTAGAAAGAAGTTGGGTCCGCTCGATGCCAGGAAGAACGCGTTTTCTTCCCTCCAGGAGCAAGGGAGGATGACCTAGCGTGACCCAGGCGTAGAACACCCTGTTTGTCTGGAGGGAGCCGATCGAGGATAACCAACAATTGCACGGGTGTCGACAACAAAAAGCAAGACAATACGAGCCGACGCCTTTATAACTAAGACCGAATGGGTGGGTCCAGGGTTCCGCCGAGCGTAGCACGAGTCCTTCGATTCCGTAAGATCTCATTCGTGAATCCTCACATTGTCCTCTCTTAAATCGGAGTTTTCGAGGTACCACCACCCGAAATAGGCCGGAGAAGTGCATTCCTCCATTACGGCGCCAAATAACACATAAACAAGCGTCTTGTACTATCTGAGACTCTTATTGTCTTCACCCCCCCATCAGGCGACAAATCTTGGATGCCGGCTTCCCGGATCCGACTTCTTGTGCCCACTACAGTGGTACCGTCCCGCTGACTCGCATGTCGCGTTATCTCCCTCGATCCGTATACGATAAAGTCCCGTGCTGCCTTTTACAGGACGTAATGTTCTCCTTTCCATTCCACAAATTCGGCATACCCACGGGTTAGTGCATCTTTTCCGCTCAGTATACACGGTTTATGAGTCACTTTGGGACCCGCTGGGAGACGCCGTTCATTTAGAACGGCTACCATACTATCCCCTCCCGTTCCATAATACTCGTATGGACTTTGTCGCGAGCCTCGTGTCTGATAGATAACTTGGTTCCGGTAGAGGCGACACAGCTCCTATTTCCGATCGATCTATAGTGTACCATTGGGATTTCCCTTTTTGGCAGCTTCGGCCCATGAGTCCGGACTGTTGACCAAGCGCCTGCCTCTCGGCGCGATATGGAAACCAGGACCTGATCTTCTGGATGGTTTCATTGGTGGCTGTGATTCGAGGCCTGCGGTACCCAGCAGCGTCTACTACTCACCTCTGCCATCAATAAGAGGCAGCTCTGTATTCAAAGAAACTATTATGACCGCCCTTCTAGGTTTTGCTTCCGTTCCAGCTTGGCGACTCGAATCTCCTCCGCGAACGACCGCGTGTCAGATATCGGTAATTTCGGGCCTGTCCGTGGATTTTTCAGGATAGATTTTTATCAGATACAATCCATGGTCCGTACACGTCGCCGATCAAATGCGACGCAGCTGCTCAGTACGAGTTCCGAGAATACCCTTAAAACCTTGACGACATGACGTTCGTCGGACTCCGCAAGCCTCAAGGCTTCACCTGGATTGACATTGCATTGTACCAGTATGTAAATGTGCTTGTTCCGGTACGTGCGGTCCGACAGCATGGATTCTGCGGCGAACATTTAGACAGATGGCATTTCCAGCCTTGCAAACTGGTCTGATCGTCATTCATCGTCATGGACGCGCGGGACTTGAAACCGTCGTTTAGGAGTTGATGGCTTTTCCGGATCGGTACCGCCATATTTCAACATCAGAGTGCAGGCGTTGTGTGTAAAAGTTTACATAATTTCTTGCTGTGCAACTATCCGCTGACCGTATGTGCCACTTCGCCCAGGGCTCGCTTGAGGAGCTTGGAGGATTGATCCGTTATCCGTTCCTGTGTTGTCGGGTGTGCTGGTATGGAAGAAGACGGATCAAGACAAGGTGCGGGATATCTGCGCCGTTGCCCATCGATAGTTCCTCACTAGCTGTCAGCTCGTATGCATATCGATCTGGTCGACATAATCCAATATGACTGTTTATGCTAGCAGCCGGGTGAGGAAAAT